ACAGGGCCGTAGCCTGCGGTGGGGGGGGGGGGATTTTGGAGCAAAATTAAAAAAAATAGATTGTTCTACTAAAAGAGAATTGTCGTAGTCAGAATGAAGGCTGTACATGTACTCAAAAGTGCCTCAAATACCATCTCCTGCGATCTACATTTTCACAATTTTCTCACCCCCTCCTTGAAATCCTGGATCCGCCACTGCCCCCCCTAGGAATTCGCTCAGCCTACGGCTCTGGGTTATAATAGATAAACAAGAGCAATCGGAGATAGCAAACCTCCGCCACAGCTTAACAGTCCCCCCCATATATCTATATATAGCTATCGATCTAATTTTTAGTCGCGGCGGTGACACACCATAAACCCCTACATAGAGAGAAAGCGAAATGAAGCGAAGCGATTAGAGTGTAAACTGTTACAATACTGTATCAATGATGAGAAATCCTACAAAAAAATTCCTGGATCCAGATCTGTATCCGGATCACCACCAAAATCCAATCGATTGGTTCTTGGCCCAAGACCAACCCGACAACCCGTCCAAAAAAATTCATCAAAATCTGTCCGTAACTCTGAGATATCTTGTTGACAGACAAACAAACGAACTGGGGCGAAAACATGTATCCACAATATCCTTCATTGATATTGTCACACTGAGTAGCAGTAACGTTTTCATGCAAGTGCTCTGCTGATACTGTCAAACTAAATGGTTTGTGTATATGTACAATTGTACATGTATACACCTCTATGGTGTATATTAATATTAGTTAATAAATAACCATTATAATTTGCATCCTGTTTTCAGCTGAATTATACAAATGCTTGCCTTCGTTCAGAACTGCAGGATATAAACATTGTGGAAACAAAGTGCACAGAGGCTCAAGAAGAACTGAGAAAGCTGACACAAATCCTAAAGGATTACAATGGTAACATAGCATTGCACGACGATGCTTTCTATTAACTGCACCGGAACGTTTACTGTTTAACTGGGCACCTTTCGTGTATTCCATAAGGTTACAATAAGGTAATCCACTGTAATTATGACATATTTATCTGTAGGCCTAAACTCCTGTAATTGTCAAGCAGTGTACTTCCTGTACCATAAATGCCAATTACTGCAATCAATCATGGAAATCAAACATTTTTTTTGTAGTGACACAATGCCAAGAATCGCTGCATTTCCTTCATGGAAGTGGTGAAGTGCTCCTGAATAATCTCCAACAGGTGGAGACACTGATGCAATCAAGTAGCACGACCCCTGAAGGAAGCAAGGTGAATAATGCTATATTCTTGCTTCGAAATAGCTGCGTATTGTATGAATAATGAAATATTATTGTGTGTGCGGGGTTCTTACTATCTAATATTTAAATGTTTTGTTTATGATGACATTAGGAGTAGCATAATAGACTATTTAATAGAGGTATATATTAGATACATATTATCAAGAGCTAATAATACCTAGTGTACAACGGAAAAACGGGAAAATAGTGCTATTTCACGACAACATTATTCTACTTTGCCTGCGAGTCTAGAATAATTTTATGGTATTGCATTAAGCAGAATTCTTTGATCTCTAAATCAAGACCAACCGCTTGTCAATACGATACTCCTAGGCTGAGATATTGGCTCCTAAACCTCCCCTCCCACATGCCTCACGCCGCCTCGCATCCCGGTTATTCAGCTACCTCAACGCCCCTAAGCATTGCTTCGTGAAAGTTAGGTTTTTCCGCGATAACTTTATGAATGAACGGCGTTATCATAGGTGACTTTCGGGGGCATCGCCTATGCCCTTATCTCCCATTATCTTTCCTAGCACAGCTAATGCCCGTCATGATGGAGCCGGCATAGCCCGACCAGGCTGTGCGACGGATTGTCTATACAATACAGTAAAAACCCGCGTATAAGAACATAGATTTTAAGAACATGTTAGGCTAAAATTTCCCATTTAGACCC